AGCTAAATCTGCTTTTCTTGAAATTAAAAAATATAGTAAAAAATAAAAAAGAGTAATTTTAGGTTTATAGAAAAATTGAGCAGAATGAACCAAGTTTCCATATACCCCTTTATCACCATCCCCATTTCCCCTTATTACTAACATGCCTTACCAAGGCACACCCCTCACAACTGATGAATGGTACTAAATGCACTGTTAAATAAGACTTCCTATTAGGGTTTGCCAGACTGCACAGTTCTACAGGTTTCAATAAATGCCCAAGACCCTCATCTGCAGCTTTTAAAAACTCTTATATACCTGTCTCCAGTTTATCAGAAACAAAATAAAAATTGTGAAACTGGTCTCTAATGACAAATTAAGCTTGTACCAAGTTCCAATGTCATTTTATGCTACAGGTCATGAATCATGTGGTCCTCATTTATAAATAAACTGACAAGCCAGAGCACTACATATAAGCAGTATGCTGCGTTCTATACTATATATTGTAGTATAGACCAGAGGAGAGAGACTAGCAGTCCTTAAACATCCCACACCCACCTTTGGGCTTCTGTTGCTTCCCAGCTTGTGCTCTCCTCTTGGCCTCTGAAGGACTCTCTTCCATATCATTTTATCAGTTTGTTTGTAAAGATCTGGAAATGTTCTTCTTCTCCTCCTAAGTCTGTATTTATAATATCTTTCAAGCTGGGCTACAAAGATTATAAACTACCAGTAGGTGCCACTGTCCAACAAATGATGCTACTATGTCTTAAGTCAATGAACAGTCACCAAAATAACAAGCAAATTATAACAAAGGTATTTCTATTTTAGTCCCATACATATGATGAAATATCTAGTACACTCTTTTTGAAAATATGAACTCTAAGAAAAGGGATACTCTTGCTCATAAAAATAAGTGCATAGTTCTTGTCCTATAAGATTTTATAATTGATATAAACTCTACAAGAAATATATTTCCTTTATCCTTTTTTGACTAGCTATCTAGTACAACAGCAACATTCATTTCTATATTTCTAGGTTGCTATTTTAGTTTTCAGCATGTTTATATACAGTAGACTTTATATTTAAATGAGGCCAGGAGTTTAGCCTGTCACCAGTATTAACAATTTTGAGATGTGATGTCTTAAATTGGATATGTCTACCAGTTATTTGATATGTCTACCAGCTCTGATTTCTATTTTCTAGTGTAAGTTTCTAGGGCCTAGAAAGAACTAAAATAATTTCAGACACTTTACTAAGAGAAGAAACAAGGTTCTTGCCAAAGACTATACTAAAATTTTACCCGGCACAAATTTGTATTATGTTTACAAAAGAAAGCAGTGTGTGGTGCCAATTAGCACATTAGACTATGGATATTTTCCAATCAGTAAAATGTATCTATGGTAAGAAGTTCATTTTTCCTTTTATCTTTTTTATTCATCATAGAGCACACAAATATATAAAAGAGAGTAGGACAGAAAGACAGAAAAAGAGAAACACCCTTCACACAGCTCAGTCATGCCACAATCCCTTTCTTCCAGTCCTCTGTCCTACCAAGATTGTGCATGCGCACACACTCCTGTGTGTTTTCAAGGCAACCAGGTGAGAGACTCGAACTGCAGTCAGCACACTGCTTCCAGTTCCACAGTTTAGTATGCAATCAACTGCACCACAGAGACTGGGACAAGAAGCTTCTTTAAAGTAATACCAGAGCTTAGCAACCACTGATCAAGAGTCAACAGTATTAAACAATGAATGACACCCCATTTATTTTTTTATTCATTCCTTGTTTTTCCTGTTATGATTTTTTTAATCAGAAGTTTTGCCAATTAGAACCCCCATTTTAAAGTGACCAGGAAAACTGATATATATATTTTTTTTTTAACTATTTTTAAATTTTGATGTCCATTAGCTCTGTAGAAAAATCGGGTTAAAAAAAAGCCTGGAATTACTATCTAAAATAAAGTTAATAAGTAATCTGCAGAGTTGATTTAATTTTACTATTTTGATTTGTACTTTGCCTCTAAACTATAATATATATTCAGACTATGAAATCTGCTAGATATATTGAACCAGTAAAACATAATAAAAGTCATCCTATTAAGTAGCCAAATTTTTAGCAAGAGATTTTCAGTCTGTAGTATGAATGGCACTGGAGAGTAAGCTCCTGAAGAGAAGCTACACCATACATCTATAATGCTCCTAAAATTTTCCTTTTGGATATGAACTGGATTCCCACTTACTCAGCCCATTACCTCGTCAATTAATTCATTCTAAATAAAACTATGCGTTACTTCAGTGTTTCCATGGCATCATATATGTACTTCATATTCATATTCATATTCACCACATGGCATGATAATTTGCTTATATATCTGTGCTTCCCACTATACTTAGCTCCTTGTGGCAGATATCTATGACTCGTTTTTGTAAGTGGGGACGTAGCAAGCCCCTACACACAGGAGACCACCCCCCAGAAGTGTGCTGCATGAGTTATCATGAGTTAGAACTACTCGCATTGCCCCTCCACCATTCAGCTTTTAAATCATGACCAAAAATTCACTCTTCATTACCTACACTATTCCAATCATGAAGAGAAAGGGAAGCAAACACATGTATTTCCAAACCACCAGTAAGTTATTATTCCACAGATGGTTTGCCTAGGCTAACACTAAGATCAACTGGCTTTCACACAGCACGCACGAGAAGAAAGCAGTGCCAAGACAACGACAAGGCAGCTTTGGGTTTCCTTTCCTTTTCTCTTCTCTTCTCTTCTCCTTCCTCCCTCCCTCCCTCCCTCCCACCCTTCCTTTCTTCCTCTTTCTGTCTCTCTCTCTCTCTCTCTCTCTCTCTCTTTCTTCTGACAGGTAGATACATCTAAACCACAGTAATTTATCAAATTTTCATGGATGTGGCCAGTCTCTGTGCCTAAACAATCTGTTATGAAGGCACATTACATAACAGGACAAAAACAGGACATTATGATAAATCCCTGATACCTGCTGGCCCAACATCACTGTCCAGAGAAACACCAACTCCAGGCTGCAAGCTGGAGCCATGAATGACTGGCAAAGGAAGTGAAGGTCTATGTCAGCCCACTCTTTCTTCAAATAATCAGTATAATCAGTGAACCAAAATAAACTGTCTTAATATAAGTTATTTTATTTTGTTTTATTTTAGGACAGGGTTTTGCTCTCTTGCAATCCTACTGTCTCAGCCTCCAGAAGAGCTGGGACAATGGGAGCACACCACCACATCTAGTTTTCAGAGTAGACTGGGATTCAAACCCAGGCTTCTCACTATCAATTAATAGGCCAATTGAGGGCTTTCTTCTTTACAAAACAAAAATTATAATCAATAATTATCTTAACAAAAGTTTCACTGACCTGAAACCACATGCACTCTGATTTCTTGCTACCTCTTTAGCGAGAGCACAACTAAACCTACAGAGCAATGGCGTCTTACCAGTGCATGCCACCACAGGTAGGTTTTTAGGTAACTAATTCTTAAAAACCTGCAGTGAGCTAAAACAGAGATGGCTAATTGGCATAAAATGAGTGAAAACACTCATTTTATTCAAAAATTGAGAAAATACCTATTCAAAATTTCTACCACACCAGTTAATCAGTGATAATGCAGATTTGAATTTTAGCATCTTTTCACCTTCTTCAAATCCAGGCAGTTTTATCAACCAGTAACTTGGTAAAGGACAAATAATATAATGGTAAAAGTTAAGAATTTAGGGGATCAGCAGATGGCATAATGGTTACATTGCTGGACTCCCATGTACTCGACTGTGGTTTAGGTCCCAGGCCCAGCAGCTTAAAACTCACACCAGGCGCATGTGTGTGCATGCCCAAAATCCCAAGAGGAGAATGGAGAAGGGACTATGGCGTAGCCATCCCCCGTGGGGAGTGATTTCTCGCTTTCTCTGTCTCTCCAGTGAATGCACACGCCCTACAGCAAAAAACTCTCTTAAAAAAAAAAAAAAGTTAGGAATTTGGAAGGTTCCAGATAGTTTAGACGGCTCACAGAAGCAAAAGGGCAAAAAAGACCTAATGCTTGTAATGATACAAAGAAAATCTAAGGGAGTTTTTTTTTTTAGAGGTTTCTGTTATAAGGAATGTGCACTCACGGGAAAGACAGAGAGACAGAGAGACAGAAAGTGAGAAATCACCTCCCAGGGGGGATGGCCACGCATAATCCCTTCTCCTCTATTCTCCTCTTGGGATCTTGGGCACACACACACTCATGCCTGGTGTAAGTTTAAGCCACGGGGTCCGGGACTCGAACTGCGGTTGACTACGTGAGAGTCCAACGACATAGGTATTACGCTAACTGCTGGTCCCAGGAGCATTATTTTTAAGATTTACCTTAGGTAGAAATCAAACGATAAAGCCTTTAGTAATAATTCTGCCATAAACTATCAAATAGCTATATAGTCTTGGGCAAGAAACTCTAAATCTTAAGTCTGTTTTCCAAATTGTGAAAAATGACGAAAAATCAACTCGAGTTCCTCTACCTTAAAGTATTCCATAATTAATGTAAAACTTAAAGAACTTATGTAAAATATGAGGTACAAGGAATGTTTTTCTACTCACCAGTTCATTACTTCTTTTCACAATGATTGTACAACAATTCTATTTAGGGAACAAGTAGATAGCATAATGGTTATGTAGCTGGACTCCCACGTAGTCAATTGCAGTTCGAGCTCTGGACCAGTGGCTTAAAACTCACACCTGGCACATGTGAGTGTGTGCCCAAGATCCCGAGAGGAGAATGGAGAAGGGACTGAGGCGTGGCCATCCACCCTCAGGGGTGACTTCTCGTTTTCTGTCTCTGTCTCCCCAGAAAGAGATGTACCCTATAACAAAAATCTCTCTCAAAAAAAAAAAACAAAACAAAAACTGCTCTATCCAGATGATGATTAATGACTATTGATTAATAGGCCAATTATTGGCTTTCTTCTCTATAAAACAAAATTATAATCTGCAATTATCTTAATAATAAAAAGTTTCACTGACCTGGTGCAACCACATTCACTCTGATTTTCTTTCTTGCTACCTCTTTAGCAAGAGAACGAGAAAATCCAACTAATCCTCCTTTACTAGCGCTATACACAGACTGGCCAGAATTACCTCTTACACCAATAATACTTCCTAGGAAAGAAAAAAGAAAAAGAAGATCAAATTCAAACAAATTAATAAAGTTATTTGGAAATTCAGATAATTCATAATAAAAAGATAAAAACTCATTTTACTTTGTCCGTTGCTAAAATTAGAAATTCTAACCATTGCAGTTTGAGTCATAAAATGTTAAGACTCCAAGTCTGCTTGGATTCATACAGAAAATGAGATCTAAAATAGCAGATGCAAAACCACAAATGCCAGGCAGGAGACTTGCATATTGATCCAGCAAGTGAAAAGGACCCACTCTAAGATTTGCGTGGATAAGATATGATGAAAATTCTGTTGTTTATATTATAAAGGTCTCTAACAGAAAAAGGTAAAAACCAGAAAAGGGCTGATTAATTTTATGATTCCACACCATTGACATAAGAATGTCACTTCCATATAAAATAGTTCATTTGAAGATCACTCACTCTAAATTTGAGTTACTGTTGATCTAAATTAATTAGCAAAGCTTCGATTTTAAACATTTTGTAATTTTGTTACTTTCAGCTATATATTGTGACTTGCATTGCCTACTAGATTCTTCAGTGACTTCATTTAATAAATATGTAAGAATACTTTATAATTCAAATATCAACTATATGCAAATAAATTCTTACAAAGCAGAAATAGAAAAGTAATTTTCTGCACCACTGACTTGTATACATACTATAAAAATTAATCAACAACCACACAAAAAAATTTTATGTAATTTTATTTTAGAAAAAGAAAACATTCCAAATACGTTTTCTATTATAATCAAGTCCAATATTAAAATATTTGCCCACATCATAATATCATATGCCAGTTACTGAAAAAGGAGAACTGTGAAGCACAGAGTGGAGAGACATCAGACTGGAAATACAGATGGATGGAGAAAGGGGCATAGGAGAGAAGGAGAATAGAAGGGAGAGGAGAGGGCACAGGAGGTGAGGACCGCCAAGCCACAGAGTCAGCCCTAAAGTAGTCTTTTCTGTTAGAAGATTCTCTTAAGTTATTTTCAGTTATGTACTTATCTATTTTTACTTACTTTAAGAATTTCCTAAAAGTTGTGAATAAATACACATTTTTAAAATATACCTAAATGGGAAATATTTTAGAGATAAATATATACCATGTTATCAGATGATCAAGACTTGTGTGCCAGTTTATAAGAACTCAAAGTCATTATCTGGCTCTGTGAGAAGCTAACAGTCAACTCATTTACTAATCCCCTTTATAAGAAAAGTGATCCCTAACACTTTCTTGGTTTTTTTCTTTTTCTTTTTTTTTTTTTTGGAGAGGTTTTTGCTATAGGGCGCCTGTGCTTGCCAGAAAAACAGAGAGAGTCAGAGACAGAAAGCGAGAAATCACCCCGGGGGGGATGGCCACGCCACAATGCCTTCTCCTCCATTCTCCTCTTGGGATCTTGGGCACGCACATACATGGACCTGGCCTAAGTTTAAGCCACCAGGTCTGGGACTCAAATCGCAGTCGACTACATGGGAGTACAGCGACATAGCCATTATGCTAATTGCTAGTCCCAATCCTTAACACTTTTAAAGAAATGTTGGCCAGCAGGTGGCATGGTGGGTAGGGCATAGAATTCCACATGGCTGACCAAGTCTTGGACCTGGAGACTTGCTTTCTTACTTTCTCTCTCCAGTGAGTGCATGCGCTTGACAGCAAATTAAATAATAATAATAATAATAAATAAAATTAAATAATTCCTTTTTAAAAAGAAATGTCAAAAATATGCTAATGTCCCCTTAGTTTATTAGCCTGGTTATTCTTTCCTCATTTTCAAAAGGGATAAAACTTAAATTGTGGCCTGGAAAGTCATTTCCTATATTGAAAAGAATAAGGTCACTGACTTTAACGGAGCAGCATCCACCTTTTGTGGCCTTTTAAACTCTTTCCACTTAAAAATAAAAAGTAGATAGTGTGCTACTAGACTCAAATTACCCAACTGAAATAAATTTCTAAGATGTTTTGCATTTTTAATTTTATATGCCCAGTGAGTCAGAGGAACTGAAGACTAGGAGTTACTTATACTCATTACCAAAAGCAAAAAAGTTTTAACTTCCTTTAAACCTCTGCACTAGATTTATCAGTGGCCCATGCAACTGCTGTAAACATTATTTTTTAGCCTCCCTGATCTATTATTTTTAAATTCCTTGCCAAATATTAGGTTTCGTATAAAAAAAAATGGAACGTCAAGATGGTGTAATGCTTACATTTTCTAGACTCCCACGTAGTCAAAAGGAATTCGAGTACCAGACCTGATAGCTTAAAACTCATGCCGGGCACATATGCCTGCATGCCCCAAGTCCTGAGAGGATAACAGAGAAGGGACTGAAAAGCAGTCATCCCCTGTGGAGGGTAATTTCTCACTTTCTGTCTCTCTTTCTCTCCAGTGAGTGCACGTACCCTATACCAAAAATCTCTCTCAAAAAAAAAAAAAAAATTAGAATGTCAAATTCTCTTGAAATGTCAAAATTGCAGGCAAAATGGATCTCATTTCATGCATTACAACAATCTACTGGATGTGAACAGCGGTGGCCTCTATGAGTCTACATGGCCTGTGAACACTGAAGCCAAATGTCTTGACATTTACCATGTGGCTTGTGCTGTCATTTCTTTAGTACTTGGTAGCATTACTCATTTAAAACCTACCTGACCTCTGCAGGGATATGGATTTGTGATTTTTGTGTTAATCAATAATTGGTTAATTAAATCCTTTTTTCCATAATTAATAAAAAGATAAAATTTTATCCAAGTTTGCAGATGAATAAACTCCAAATTAGTGGATTAAATTTTTTAAGGGGCAATTATCAATGCATGGAAGTGAAGACTCACCTACATTAACGATGGCCCCTCCCTGTTGTTGAATCATAGTCCTCATGGCAGCTTTACAGGTCAGCATGGAGCCCAAGAGGTTGGTATGAAGCTGAGAGAGCATATCTTCAGTTTTTGTTCTCACTAAAAGACTATCCCTTCAAAGAGAAAGAGTGTTTTTTAATTAGATCAAATAAACCATAAGTAAATAGATTTTTTTACTGAAGGTAGAGAGGGGTGTGCTTTCTATATCTAAGCTAGAATGCCTAGAGCCATTTTGAACTTGCCTTAAAATACCACTGTTTTTAAAAAAATAAGAATAATTTTTTTTTTTTTATTTTAAAAAAGCATTAAAATACTACTGATTGGGACCATCAGCTAGCATGGTGGTTAAGGCGCTGGACTCCCATATGGCCAGCCACAGTTCCAGTCCCAGACCTGGAAACTTGAAAATCATGTGAGCACATGTGTGTGTGTGCCCAGAACCCCAAGAAGAGAATGGAGGAGAAGGGATTGCAACATGGTCATCCCGCTAGAGGGTGACTTCTCACTTTCTCAGTCTCTCTCTAGCAAGTACACACACCCTGTGGCAAAACCTTAAAATAATAACTACTTATGAATCAGAAAAGATCTATTTGGGAGACCAGCAGTTAGTGTAATGGCTATGTTGCTGGACTCCCATGTAGTCGACCGCGGTTTAAGTCCTGGACCCGGTGGCTTAAACTCATGCCAGGCGCGTGTGCGTGCATGCCCAAGATCCCGAGAAGAGAATGGAGGAGAAGGGATTGTGGCGTGGCCATCCCCCCTGGGGGGTGATTTCTCGCTGTCTCTCTGTCTCTCTCTGTCTTTCTGGCGAGTGCATGCACCCTATAGCAAAAACCTCTCCAAAAAAAAAAAAAAAAAGATCTATTTGGAAGACAGGTTCCTAACTCCTCTCAACTAGAGTACTAATTGCTAAAAGCATTACCATGCAGACCAGCAGATGGTATAATGGTTACATCCTTGGACCCCCATGCAGTTGACTGTGGTTCAAGTCCTGGACCCAGCAGCTTAAAACTCACACCAGGTGCATGTGTGTGTGTGTATGCCCAAGATCCTGGGAAAAGAATGGGGGAGAAGGGATTGTGGCATGGCCATTTCCCCTTGGGGGTGATTTCTTGCTTTCTGTCTCTCTGTCTCTGTCTGTCTGGTGAGTGCACATGTCTTATAGCAAAAAAAAAAAAGAAAAAAAAACTCACAAAAAATAAAAATGAATAAAGCATTACCATGTATGCAAACAGTTTGAATGACCCAAGAAATACCCATTCTATGCCTTGCTTAGTAAAAGAATTAATAAGTTATACTAAATATTGTTTTCTAAATTTATCATTTAAAAAATTAGTCATCTTATAAATTCATCAATATTTAGTTTATGAACTGGCAAAACTTAAATATAGTGACAGAATTCAGAATAACAGTTCACTATAAGGAATTTTTGTTGTTTTCTCAAATGGTACATGTGCTCACCAGAGAAAGAGACAGGGAGAGGAAGAAGGCATCTCCCAATGGAATATGACCATGCCATAATCCCTTTTCCTCCATTTCTCCCTCCTGTCAGGATTTGAAGCATGCAAAGCCCAGTGAGCTTTTCAAGTCACCAGGGCCAGGATTAAAACCAAGGTCAGTCTCATGGGATCTGGTTTCCTTAAGTACTAGACCATGGGGCTAGCCCCAAGGAAGTATTAACTGAGAAGAAACTAAGAAAGCCTTCTGGAGTGTTGGAAATATTCCATAGGTCAAAATGGTTGAAAAATCACATCACCATTGGCACAGCAACAGCACAGTGTTCTGCAACGTTGGAAGCTATATGAAATATCGGGGTCTAATTCCCCGGTCAGCCTGTACATGCCAGGCATACACAAATGTCCATCATCTTGGCTGAATGGAAAGGCTGGGGAAGATCATGGCATGAGAACCTGTTGAGGGTGATCCTTTCTCAGGAAGGAAGTAAATATACTTTGAAAACAAATAAATAAATGTGTATAGATACACACAATATAAACACACACACACACACACACACATATATACACATTTATATGTGTGTGTATATATACACATTGATATAGTTGTGTGTGTGTGTATATATACATGCACAAGTGTGTGTGTGATTACATTATTAAAAGTTATCAAATTGGACACTTAGTATATATCTCAGCACAAAAGAAAGATTGTCAGGCAAACTCATAAAATATATAGTTTTTATTCCAATTTGAAGTAAAACAATATGTTACTCATACTAATCAGACATTGGGAAGGGAAATACAAAATCAATAAGGACTTTAGAACCGGACTTAAATCTGTGACTAACCTGTTAACACCAGCTGCGTTTACCAAGAAATTTACTTGACCTAAATGTTTTTCCATCTCTTCAAATGTATTTTGAACATCGTGTTCTTTAGCAACATCACAGCTAAACGCCAAATGATCTCCTACACAACAAGAGTTAAACTAGAATTACTGATAAAGTATAACTTGAATTTTAAACTTATACAACACATTTTAAGATCTACTATATGGTTTGCCTATACTAATCTAGAACCTAGAGATAAAAAATGAATATATCATGGGCCCGGCTCTCATGTCATTGTCTAATGAAACTGGGTACATAACAAAGAATAAGAAATAAAGTAATATTAAAGAAACTTCACTTTAAAACTATGTTTTTAATCAATAAAAAGTACGGGAAGAAACTGTACAAGTTTATAATGCTTTTTTAAAATTTATCTAATATTTTATAGTTTTTTTTTTAAATATTTTATAGAGTTTTTAAAAGAATTACTTTATTTATTTATTTATTTATTTATTTATTTATCTATTTAAATTTGACCAAAGAGAGACAGAGAGAGAGAGAGAGAGAAAGTGAGAAAGCAAACCACCAGGTCCAGGACTCAAATCACGGTCAGCCATATTGGAATCCGCACTCTCGACCATCACACCACCTACCAGCCCCAATATTTTATAGCTTTAACACTGAACCCATGCTACCCAATTCAACACATTAATTTTTTGAAGTTTATGTCTATTAGGTTTTTTTGAGTTGGTTTCTTTGGCCAATGAGCATGAACTCTAGGGTTTCCTCATTTTTCCTTTTGTATTTTTGTTCTTTCTTTTTTTTTTTGGAGAGGTTTTTGCCATAGGGCACAGGCACTCGCCAGACAGACAGACAGAGACAGAGAGACAGAAAGTGAGAAATCACCCCCCAGGGGGGATGGCCATGCTGCAATCCCTTCTCCTCCATTCTCTTCTCGGGGTCTTGGGCATGCACACACACGCACCCAGCATGAGTTTTAAGCCACCGGGTCCGGGACGCAAACCGCAGTCAACTACATGGGAGTCCAGCGCCATAGCCATTATGCTAACTGCTGGTCCCTCCTTTTGTTTTTTTGCCCTAAGGTGTTCACCAGAGAGAAACAGTGAGAGGAAAAGAGAGAAATCACACCTAGCAGGGATGGCCAACCATAATCCCTTCTCCTCCATTCTCCTCCTGAGATTTTGGGCACTATTCATTATGGGGACATATAGCTGACCATCAGGAGAGATGAGACAACCTAGGATGCTGTAGAAGTACTAAAACTATAAATTTCCCCCAAAAAGGTCCTATTAGGTTGGTGCAAAAATAATTGTGGTTTTGTATTGTTGAAATTTGCCATTCGCTATTGGATACATTCTTAAATCAATGTGGTTATGTTACACATCATTTTAATGTGCATTTACTTTTCACTAATGATGCATAACCTACTGTTTATATGTAATTTAGATTATGGAAATGCTAGAAAAATCAAATTTGAGCAATTTTCTTATTTGAATTCAAAACAGGTCATAAGGGGGCAGAGACAACTAGCAACATCAACAAGCATTTGGCCTAGAAACTGCTAACGAATGAACGTACAGCACAGTGGTGGTTCAATGAGTTTTGCAAAGGAGACGAAAGCCTTGAAGATGAGGAGTGGTGTACAGCTATTGGGAGTTGGTAACAAACAATAGAGAGCAATCATCAAACTGATCCTCTCACAACTACCTGAGAGGCTGGCGAAGAACTCTACACTGACCACTCTAAGCTTCGTTGGAATTTGAAGCAAATAGGAAAGGTGGAAAAGCTCGATAAGTGGGTGTCTCATTAGCTAATCGAAAATCAAAACGTCAGTTTTAAAGTGCATCTTCTCTTATTCTATACAACTCTTTCTCGATCAGATTGTGACACGTGACAAAAAGTGCGTTTTATGACAACTGGAGACAACCAGCTCAATGACTGGACTGAGAAGCTCCAAAGCATTTCCCTAAGCCAAATTTACACCAAAAAAAAAAAGGTCATGGTCACTGTTTGGTGTAGTCTGATCCACTACACCTTTCTGAATTGCAGCAAAACCACTAGATCTGAGAAGTATGCTCAGCAAATGGGGATGAGATGCACGGAAAACTGCAATTCCTACTGCTGGCATTGGTCAACAGGAAGGGCCCAATTCTTCTCCACAATAATGCTTGACTGCACAGAGCACAACCAATGCTTCAAACGCCGAACAAGGGGCCAGTAAGCGGCATGGTGGCTAAAGCTCTGGACTCTCTCATGGCCGAATGCAGTTTGGAGTCCCAAACCTGAAGGCTTGAAAATCATACCAGGCATGTGTGCATGCATGCCCAAAATCCCGGGGCGGGGGTGGGGGGGATGAAGAAGGGGTCTCACTGTCTCTGTCGTCTCTGTCTCTCTCTCTCTGGCAAGTGCTCACTCTATGGAAAAAAAAATTTTTTAATATTTTTTTTTGAAAAAGCTAAACGAATAGACTAGGAAGTTTTGCCTCAACCCCTATATACATCTGACCTTTCACCAACTGAATATCATTTCTTCACACATCTTGACAACTTTTTGCAGGGAGAATGCTTCCACAACCAGCAAGATGCAGAAGATACTTCCTAAGAGCTCTTTAAATCCCAAAGCATGGATTCTTTACACTACAGAAATAAACTTATTTCTTGTTGGCAAAAATGGGTTGATTTTAACAGTTCCTATATTGATTAGTAAAGATGTGTTTGAGCCATTTTACTTAAAATGCACAGTCTAAAATTAAAATTGCTTTTGCACCAACTTAATACTAAAAGCAACCGTGGAGTCAGACTGTGGAGCAGCAGGAAGATCCAAAGGTTGATCCACATGGGAAAGTTTCCAGTTCACGTCCAACATACTCCCTGAGTATACCTGTGTGCTTACAATTGCAAGAGTAGGGTGAAGCTAGGGATGGATCAAGGTATCATGACCCTGACAGGGGCTACTCTCTCTCTTTCTCTGTCTCTTGCTCATGGAAGAAATAATTTTTTTTTTTTAGAAAGAAAGCAACTGTTAACTCTCAAAAATGTACACTTTTTACAAAGCATTTGGTGACAAGGGCCAGCAGGTGGTGTAGTGGTTAAAACAATGGACTTCTTGGGGCCAACAGATGGGGTGGTGGTTAAGGGAACGGAACTCACGCGTGGCTGACAGCAGTTCTACTCCCCAAACCAGAGGTTCACTTTCCCCCTCTCTCTAGCTCTGTCCTTCTCTGGTCAAATTAAACATAAATAAAGTTAAATAATTTTTTGAAAAATAAAACAAAACACTGGACTCCCATGTAGCCAACAGCATTCAAGTTCCAGGCCTGGTGGATTGCTTTCTAATTCTCTCTCTCTCTCTGCTAAGCACACGTCCTACAGCAAATTTTAAAACAATAATAATAATAATGATAAATAAAATTAAGTAAGTCTTTTAAAAAATGCATTTGGCAGGGCCAGCTAGTGGCTTAGTGGTTAAGGTGCTGGACTCCCACATGGCTGGCTGCAGTTTCAGTCCCAGACCTGGTGGCCTGGAAATCACACTGAGCCTGTGTGCACATATGCCCAAAGTCTCAGAAGAATGGAGAAGGGACTGAGGCATGGTCATCCTTCGCCTTGGCCCCAGGAGTGACTTCTCACTTTCCCTCTTACTGTCTCTGTCTCTCACCATTGAGCACACTCCTCCTATGGCAAAAACCTTAAAAAAAGAAAATCTAGAATAAATATTTTGTGCCTGACTTTGCCAAATGGTACGCATTAACATTACTCCCTCAAGTCTTTCAAACAGTAAGTTACATTGGAAATCACATTTTCTAGATGAAAACCAATTACTCATAAAAAAAAAAAAACATTTCAAGGAAATGAAGGCCTAAAAGCATTTTGTGTCTCATTCTTGACTTGTACCTGAAGACTTGCTGGGTCTGTTACCCTTCAAAGCATAAACAGCTTTAATCTAGTCCAGCAAACATGGATGGCTTAGATGATCAGGTAAGGGGCACCAATTTTTCCCTCCGTTGTTAGAATAGCAATAAATAGGAGCTGCAAGCCTTCACTGAAATTCTGAGCTATAACTTACGCATTTTTTTTCCTTTAGAGATCCCAATATTCTCCCAACCCATGTGAACAATTAGGCTGAATTGGTGACACCAAGCCAATCGATGATATTTTACAGTAAACAACAGGAAGCTCCTCTCCCCCACCTGTCACCTCCAAAAGAAAGACTGCCTAATAGTAAATAAAGTGTGCATATATTCTAGTAACTAAATAATGTCTTAGTATCTTTCAAAAGTTCTATTTCTCCCTACTACCAAGATACTTAAAGGCACAAAATAATGACTAATATATTACAAATAAGGAGGGGGGAAAAAAAGCAAAAAAACTTAAATGCAATAAAAAGAAATTTAGCAGAACAAATCTCAATTGTCCATCTGCAAAATTCACCGAAACAATTTAATAACTTATTATTGAAGTGCTTACGGATATAGCAAAAGCCAACCAGGTAAATCTCAAAACTGGCTGGTAGTCAAGAGGGTTTCTCTGAAATACTGCTTTGTGCCTTGGCACAGGGGCAAAAACAGCCCTCAGCGAAACTGAGCAAGCCCTATCTGGCACGCCCACCTTTCCTGTTCAACTCCTTTCCGCCCCCGGGTCTCTCGCTGCCCCACCGGGATCTCGCCCTTTTCCCTACATAAAAACATAACTATTATGTGGATCTCTCCTAACGGATGCCAAAACAAAGCAGCCCTTTACGATCAGGTTAGCACTAGCCCCAGGGAGGAGGGTGCTTATTAACCGGGCCTCACAAGCCTGCAAGTCTCAAAGAAAACCCCAAGTGTTCACCCTGGCAGCAGGCAGCGCAGCAGCAGGCGGGAGGTGAGGACCAGGAAGGGTTTCTGCACACGCCGGGGTCCACCCTGCAGACCGAGCGCTCCTGCACACGGCTCGGTCGCCAAACTCCAGAGCCGCAGCCGCCAGACTCGCCCCTTTCACAGATGCGGAGACTCCCGGCGCCTGGCCTGCGCCCCACACCTGGACAACTCCAGTTCGGTACCTACCGCCCAGGTCACCTGCGGCGGCCTTGGCCCCTTCGAGATTTCTGGCGATGATAGCCAGTCGGTAACCCTTCCGGGCCATTAACTGGGCCACTGCCCTGCCAATGCCCCGGGAGCCTCCAAAAACAGCACAGACTTTGTCCATCTCGGACTCGGGAGTCGCAAACTCGGAGGAAGGAGGACTAAGGCTGGTGGCCCGTTCTCACGAGCTTTTAAACCACTACCGTTCCAAAAATAAGCGGGGGGGGGGGGGGGGGGCAAAACCGCTGCAAAAATATCAGGTACGAGTCCTCCTGTCGCCGGACTTCGGCAACCTGAGCGAACCAGAAGAGGCGCGAAGAGTACAGCTCAGTGAACTGACGTCCGCACGCATGAACCCCCCCTGACGTCAGCGCGTCGACGCCGGCACGCACGGGCTCCCACGCGCAGGCCCGCTGAGGACCTGCCTGGTCCCTGGTGTGGGGGCGCCTCGCGGCCTGCTGGGACTTGTAGTCTTGATGCAGGAGGGCACGAGGCGTGGGAGCCGAACCCCGCGGGCAGTGTGACCGCGACCCCGAGGGCTGTCTCTGTACCCGCGGGCGCAGAGGTCGGGATTAGAACTCGGGTGACCAGTTCAAGTTTGTTAGGCAAAATCAGAGTTGTCAAGGCCCTGGACTTTCCCAGGCAAAGCCCAATGAGTTGACCACCACAGTTTGCACCCAGAATATGGGCTTGTCGGGCGCCAGTGTTTGCCTCTTCCGCAGGTTTTGTCTTTTCCTGCAGACTTGATCTCCTACCTATTGAAGATGTGGTCAAGTATCAGACTCAACGCCAAAACCTGTCCTGCCTGTTCCTCCCCCACCTCAAGTTACTGCAGAAATGGGGCTCTCCCCACCAGGAGACATTACCATTTATCTCAAAGGGGTCTGTGAAAAATGAATGCCCTGTCAAGGAACGCCACATAATAGGAGCTCAAGAATGTTTCTTGAATGATTGGATAGCCTTGCAAGATTGATGAAAGAACGTAGACTGTAGATCAAAATGAGTCTCTACAATTCTAAATAAGGTGCCGGGAGTTAGACACCTAAAACCAAACTTGTTACAATTACACTGTAAAAGGTTGAATTTCTAGATAAAGTAACATTGACCCAGATAATTTAGAAAAGTATAAACTATGGTCCATACCACTAAGAAGTCTGCAACCTGGGCAATGGTGCTAATACGTGAAAGGCTAGAGTGCAGCTCAGAATTATATTTAGCAAAGTGGAAAAGGATCTTAATGTAAGAGCTCAGAAAAAAGTCAATGAAGAATAAAGAGGGAGTACAGAAAAGCTGGATTTAAGGACTAAGTGAGGTTTCAAAAAAAAAAACAGGAAAGGAGGGCCAATAAGTTGAGATACATGTAGTGGATCTCCCATGGCCAGCTGTGGGGTTTGAGTCCTGGGTCTAGTGGCCTGAAAATCAGGCCAGATGGTATGGTATGCTTGTGTGCCTGCCCAAAATCCAGAGAGGAGCAACAGAAGTGAAGTAATTGCTGTGTGTGAGTGTTGGAGGAAGTGATTCCTCACTGTCCCTCCCTTTCTCTGGGACTCTGGCAAGTGCACGTGCACTATAGCAAAAACTAACAATTTTTTTAAGGAAAAGAAGAGCAAAAAGATAATAAGCAAGTTGAACATTATTTTAAAATTTTTATTTTGACTCTGTCTATAATAAATCCAAAAAGGCTTTGAAATAGGTTGCAAAAATGTATGAGTAAATTACTTTAAAAAGCAAGAAGGACTACCCTCACTGCTTTTCCCATAAGACCAGAACAGTAAAGGGAGGTCAGTGGCACATTTCATATTAAGTCATGGGACCAGATGGTGGCACAGGAGAACGTGAGTTGCTCTGGGAGGCTGATCCACATGGGAAGGTTCTGGGTTCCTGTCCAGAGATCTCTCTGAGTATGTGGGTATGCACATGCACGTAACTCAGATTTGGCTAAAACTGTGGGTAGAATGTGGTTTGGGGATCCTGTTGGGGGTGCTCTCTCTTTCTCTCATTCATGGAATAAACTTTAAAAAAAGAAAGAAAGCTATGTTGATACTAAATCTATTCAGTATTAAAGAACAGATGCTTATGTGACCCTGAGTTTCCTAGTGGCCAAAGCAATAAAGGAAATACAGTTAATTACAAATCTGCCAGTAAGAAACACCATATCTGTGCAGCAGAGATATCTGAGCAAAATTCCCTTCTCATGGATCCCTGTAAAGGCAGAGCAGGAATTACAGTAGACAATAATCTTCATGGAAAGAAAATTGTAAAGCTATTTTTACAATAGCTATTAGATGTTATTAAAAGAAAATACAATAGGATGTTAAACAATACTGTAAGAGAAATATTTGGACACAAAAATGAGTCTTTGTATATAGAAGCAGTAAGGAAAGAAGCCTGGCTACAGGAAAGCTGACTTATAGCAGACATTAACGTCAGATGCAAGCATTAAGTAAGGAGGCACTAGCCCAGCTGGTGGCCTGGTGGTTAAGGCACTCAATCCTACCTGACTGATTGTGTGGTTCAAATCATGAAGTCAATGGCTTGAAAAACACACTAGGGGTGTGTGTGTGTGCATGCCCAAAATCCCAAAAGGAGAATAGAGGAGAAGGGCCCATAGCAAACCATCCCACCCCTTGGGTGCTTTCTCACTCCACAAATCAAACTCTCTCCAGCAAGTATCTGTACCCTACAGCAAATTTTTTAGAAAAATAGGGAGGTACTGTAGGCTTTTAACCCCAGAAGTAAAACAATAAAAGTTGCATTTAAGAACCATTAGGAGGGGACCGGCAGCTAGCGTAATGGCTATGTTGCTGGACTCCCACGTAGTCGACCGCGGTTTGAGTCCCAGACCCAGTGGCTTCAACTCACGCCGGATGTGTGTGTGTGTGTGTGCCCAAGATCCCAAGAGGAGAATGGAGGAGAAGGGATTGCGGTGTGGCCATCCCCTCGGGAGGGGGATTTCTCGCTTTCTGTCTCTCTGGTGAACACACAAGCCCTATAGTAAAAACTTCTCAAAGAAAAAAAAAAGAACCATTAGGTGATGTTGTAGTGGTTAAGCCTTCTGGATCCCATATGGCCAACTACACAGTTCAAGTCCTGGACCCAGGAGCTACAAGAACACTCCAATTGTGTGTGTGTGTGTGTGTGTGTGTGTGTGTGCACCCCGAATCCCTTGAGGAGAATGGAGAAGGAACTGTGATATAAACATCCCCTGGGGGGATGCTTTTTTCAATCTCCCCTCAAACCCCCCACCTCATCTCTCTCTCTCTCCAGTGAGGGAACCCACCCCAATGCAAAATTGAAATAAATAAATAAATAAATAAATAACAGAAGCAGCATTGCAGTGACACCAGGATGCTTTGGATCAAATTTGTCCAAGCTCCTTTCCTGCTATACACCCATAATCAGTTGTAGAAGAGAAAAACTGTTTGGGACAAATTCCCACTATGTGGGGCAGCTTAAATGCCAATTGTATTCCAGGTACCCAGCAGTTTTAGGGAAAACTGGGGAGGTTCAAAATTGTGGATGGTACTGGCCATTTCATAGGGAAAAAACACATTGTTACTCCATCAAAAAAAATATATTTTTTAAGGTCTATGCTATCTTTCACAAAGATCATTGGCATGTGATGTGAGGTGACATTTCAGAAACCTCAAGACCTTCCAACTTTTCTCTCTGTGTATGAACGTAAGTGTGATAGGTTAAGTTTTTTCTTCATCATGTATTTCACTTTAACCCCCAAGGCTAGTGTTTCGTTTTTCCCTTCTTAATACAATGTCACTAGTATTCTGGGTGAGAATACACCCATAACAACATATCAGCCATTAACTGGGAGAGTTATTGGCAGGGGAGGGGGTCCCCTTAATCCCCTGATAGTCAAGTGAAGGTCTGTAAATTAAACTGGGTCTCCCTTACCCAGCAGGACGTTGAAGAAAGTCAGAAAAATCCACCTTCCGATTTTTCTTCTCACCAAACGTGTTACTTTCACAGTAACATTTTAACCATATTTTATACTTTTCTTTAATTTAAACCCACAGGGGATGTATTTTTGTCTCAGCTCCCATAATCGCAGGAGAAATTTCCTTCTGTACAAGGACTGTTATCCTGTTATCCAAATTGTACATAGACTTATTTTGTTTTTTTTTTTTCTGGTTACTAAAAGATTACTGTTTATTTGCCCCCAAAAGTAGGGGCAAAAAACTTTTTAAAAGTAAATAAAAATTAACTAGGAGCCAGACAATAGCACAGCGGTAAAATGCAACCCTCTGCAAGATAACTCTATATGGAAAGGTTGCCAGTTCAAGTCTGCAGATCTCCCTATGCACAGGGTGCATGCACTTGCTCATAATCTTGGGCTAGCTGAGGCTAGGGTGAATAGCAGCATCTGGATCCTGTTTGGGATACAACCTCTCTCTTTCTCTCTAACAGAAGAAATAAATAAACTTTAAAAGAATTAATTGAAGCATCATACACTCCAGTGGATTGGATCATATGCTATACGAATTATATCTCAATAGAACTGTTAGAAAAAAATGTAACTGAAAGCCTACGATCTTGTATCTTCCATGGATATATATATTTTTTTAGAGGTTTTTGCTATAGAGCGCATACGCTCGCCAGACAGAGAGACAGAAATCAAGAAATCACCCCCCTGGGGGATGGCCATGCCACAATCCCTTCTCCGTTCTCCTCTTGAGATCTTGGGCCCACACGCACACGCGCCCGGTGTGAGTTTTAAGCCACCAGGTCTGAAACGCAAACCATGGTTGACTACGTGGGAGTCCAGCGACATAGCCTTTATGCTAACTGCTGGTCCCGCCATGGATATTTTTGTCATAAGGTTTACAATGCCTTTGATTTCAAATATATAGAAAAATTTAATTTAAAAAATTCGTAATTGGATTATGAATTTTTTAAAAAATCCATATGTCACTGGACTCCCATGTAGTCTACTGTGGTTTGAGTCCCAGACCCAGTGGCTTAAACTCACGCCAGGCGTGTGTGCGTTCATGCCCAAGATCCCAAGAGGAGAATGGAAGAGAAGGGATTGCGGCGTGGCCATCCCCCCCTGGGGAGTGATTTCTTCCTTTCTGTCTCTCTCTGTCTTTCTGGCAAGTGCACAAACCCTATAGGAAAAACCTCTCCCCCACAAAAAATTTCATAGTTATGACTTAGTATTTATTGAGAATTCTTTTATACAACACACTGTACTAAGCACACACAAC